GTTGCAAAACGCTGGTAGTCATGACTCTCGCGTGACCCTGTTCTCTCGCGAGACTCTGCCAGCCTTGCCTTCAGAGCTGATCTCTGCTTTTGGGAGACTCTGGCCACCATGATTCTCCTGTGAACCTCTGCTCTTGCTCAGGCAGCCCTGGGCACCGGCTGTCTCCGAGAATGGAAATTTTGTAACCATGTTTCTCCTTAGCATTTGTCTGTGTGCCATTCACATGGCAAACAACGCACATGTAAGTTTTGAGAAAGAAGACACCTCCTTAAGGGTTTCTGCCGTTAATGCCTGAAATTGTCTAAAAGGTAGTCTAGCAGCCACTTTTACACAAACTACACTTTAGGGAGAAGCTTGCACTACACGTCTGCCTCCCACAGTGCACTGCGTATGAAAGATGCCTGTCAGGGACAGAGCAGCCAGGACCAGACCAGGTTGGAACTTGTGGAGCAGTGTAGAGTAGAGGTGTCCAGCCAGAGAGGGAACTCACCCACGGGTCACCTCTCTCAAGGGCCCCGATGCTGCAAAATTGAGCTGTAACCCTCTTGAGCTGCTCCACAGCTATGCTATTTTCACAGCAATGCTGTATCACAATACAGCTGTTTGCAATGAATATAGTTTCCATTTTCACTGCCACCACAATTTGGGGATTCCCGTTGACATTGAATTAGGGCCAGCGACCATAGGTTGACAGATACCTGATATCAGAGCCAGATTCGGGACCCAAACCCTGGGTTCTAGACCCTGGACTGCATACCTGACCATTCTCCCAAAGCCCAATCACAGTCCCAGGTACACTGATCCTGGAGCAGAACCCGGACCCCAAGCTGAGCCAGTCCCAAAGCCAGAACACAAGCATGGACGCCAGGCACGACACTCCAGAGCCTGACATGTGATGGTGGACTATGGATGCTGGATTGTAGACATCAAACCTTGGAGCCAGAGCTGGACGTATCCAACAGACATGGACCCCAGACCTGAAGCTGGACTCATCCAGACCTTGAACTCCAGGCACCAGGTGCAGAACCCAACTGCAGACTTAGCCCTGGAACCTGAGTGCAGAGAGAATCTACTGCTATTGAAATTTTTCCAGACTTTGGAAATTACTGGGTGCTAATCTATTAGAAACAACCATGTGAATACCACGCCCGAAAAACGGAACACATTGACGTTTGTTATAGAGAACAAGACCTATGCAGACCCAGTTCTCCCAACGAGTTAAAGCTAATCCGATTCCCCTTGTTAATTAGAGGCACTGTTAGGCGACTGTATTAGTAGCCACTGTTCTTTAGGTGACGTGGATGACCAGGGATGTGGTAGACATAGCTTGATTTTTAGTTTCAGTTTTCCAGATCACTAGACCAGAAACTATAGTAGCCAAAACAGGGTGGTATTGGCATAAAACCAAACACATAGATCGGTAGAACAGAATGGAGACCATAATGAAACTCATATACATGGCGCTGGGAACACTGCACAGNACGCCTCCTTCTCAGGGCAGCCGAGTCTATGCAGAGAAAAGTGGTGACCACCCAACCTGTGAATCTGGCTCCCAGGCCCGAACCCTCTCCTTATGTTCCTATGTCCAGCACGAAGACCCAGAAGACGTGGGCACTGACAGGTGTTCAGGGATAGACGACGCATGGTCTCAGCCATCCTCTGAGCCAGATTCTGCCTGTGCTGACTCAGCTGTGATGGCAGCCCACAGGGCCGGGGTCACCATTCCCATGTATAGGTTATAAAACAGGCACAGAGAAGCTGAGCGTCTTGCCCTAGGTCACACAGCTGGTGAGGGCAGAGCTGAGTCAAACCCACTATGGTCTAATCTGGAGTCCACATGCTTCGCACCATGAGATGCTGACCCTCAAGGGACAGCAAGGAAAGGGTGAGGGAGACCAAGTGCCCAGACAGAGCCAGGCATACACACACACACATCCCTGCCTGGCTTTCACCTCTGAGGCTGCAGAGTTTTAGGAAACCAGGAGAGGAGCCAAGGGAGGAGGTGGGGCGCCTTAGGAGAAAAGGACACACTTCCCAGATGTCCTGAGAATGCCCTTCCCCCGTGAGTCTGCCTCAAACCCCAGATTTCTCTCCCTGGGAAGTAAACTAACTACAGTGACTCCAGACTCATGCCGTTCCGGGGTTGAGCTCCTGTGGCTGAGCATGTGAGTTCTCTGTGGCCCTCCTGGACACCTCTGCTTTCAGTGGTGAGAGGGGAATGAAGTATGTAGCCCTGAGATTTATATGGAGACAAAATTTATTAGAACAGGAGGCCAAAGAAACCATGGAGGAGATTGGTGTAACATCCACATAGCACTTAAGCAGCTATCTCATCTCTCGTCACAAAAGTGGAGGATTTGTTTAGCCAGTTATTTGTGTCCTCATTACACTCTTGGGGAGTAAGGGGTAAGAAGATTCCCTCTGAAGCCCCATCAGGCTGGGGTATCAAGTGTGTGGTGGCTACATTTGTCCTGTGGCTGTTGAGTGTGTCCTCTCGTGTGTGATGAGATGTGACTTTCTAGTGAAGCNGGGGTAGAGGTGTTGCTTATCAGGGAACTCAGCAGAGAAAGTGCTCGGTGTGCCAAGTCATTTATTCTTTGTGGTATCAGAGAGTGGTGCGTGCTGACTAGACAAGTATATCTTTACTCACTAAAGTTAATAGAGATACAACTGACATCAACAATAAAATTAAAATGCATACAAGAAAAATGAACATGGTCATTCATTATCATTGTCAAGTATTATGTTCACGGTTGGTGAGAGGGTGAACTCTTATTTGGAAATTTTGGGATGTTGTTGTTGTGTGTTGCACCCGTTTTGCGACATGGGCGAGCTCGATTTAGGAAATTTTGGACTCAATTTCCTGCAGGTTGAACCAGGTTGGCCAGAGGGCGAAGATCTTTGAAAGTTTTGGCTGGATCTATTGCAGGGACTACACAGCCTGATGAAATAGGCTCCGGAGTCAGCAGGGGACCGTGGGGCAGTGGGCAGCTCAGCCATCAGCCCTCAGTGCCGCCCTCCTTGCCTGGCTGGGATCCTTCGCCTTGCTGCTTGTACCAGCCAGAACTCAAGGCTGGCCCCGGCTTAGGGGAGGTGGTCTGCACCGAAGTCCTGCCCCAGCCCTCCCTCCTACCTTTTCCTCAGTTCTGTCCATTGCTGGCCATGGTCCTCGAGCCTGGAGAGCTGGAGGCAGAGGCCCTGGGCGGGGAGTCCTGAGGCAGTGTCCAGCACGTGTGTGGTCAGCGGGCTGCTGACTGGCTCCATGCCTCTGTCCTGGGCCACGAGACGGGGGCAGGGATGAGCGTGTGGGCCCAAGCTGTGTCCACACCAGCCTTAGAGTAAACAGCCCCAGCCGGGCAGAGTCCCTAACTGTCCCTTTGGGGGAGGGGGAGCTGGAATTAATGATCAGCATGCCGGGCTGCGGTGTTAGCACCCTGAAATACAGTTCATAAACCAGCTGACCTGTCCCCCATCTGCCCCCACTGGGCCCCCATCTGCTCCACCCAGCCACTGAAGGGCACCTCTGGCACACAGGCCTCCCCTTCCACCCCTCTTTGCTGCTGGTCAGTGCTGGCGTGGATGGCCAGACCCGGTCTTCTTGTTCTCCCAGAACACAGCTCTCTGTCCCCTGGCTCACGGGTCGCCGGACCTTAGCCCCAGACAGACGAGGGGACAGAAACCCCGGTCCCTGCCTGACCCCCTACCTCGGGGGAGCCCAGGTGTCGCTGGAGCGTGCGCAGCCGCGGGACAGCCTGGAGCTCATGCCTGGCTAATTCGGGACAGCTCCAGGCGGTCAGAGGTCACCCCACGCCCGCCACCCTCAGAGTTGGGGGAAGCCCGGGGCACCTCCCCCGGCCGGCCCCTGTCTCTCTTCTATCACCTCCCAAGACCAGGGACCAAGTGTCTGACCAAACTGGAAGGGGGGCAGGGTAGGTCCATCTCGGTGCCCGCCAGTAGGGCCCCAGGGAACTTCGTTCAGGAGGGGGCGCAGGCGGGCAAACTGGGCCAACAAAGCTGCGGGGGCCGCCGAGGCTCCTCCAGGGGCTGGAAATGGAGTCCAGGGGACGGGCGGAATGATGGGGTGATGGGGTGGATGGAGCTCAAGCAGGTGCTGGGCGGGACAGGGGCTCAAGGGGTGGGTCTCGGGGTCTGGGGGTCAAAGAAACATTTACTGAGTTTCAGAGCAGTTTACCCCCTCAGGCCTGCTCAGGCCCCAGGAGGCCTGCCTGACTCCAGCTGTGGAGGACCCTCTGCTGTTCTGGGTTCTTGGCTGACCTTTCCGCCAGGTGACGCCCTCAGCTGGACAGCTATGATTCTTAAGCCAGCCGGCTGCGTCCTTACCTGGGCGGCAGACAAGCAGAGCAGAAAGCAGGTAGCTCCCAGGCCACTGTGGTCACAGAGTAGAGTGTGTGATGGAGGCAGCTGGCCACGCCGTCCTGTCGCCTGAGCTGCTGGTCCTTTTTGCCCAATGACTGTCGACCTGCCCCATCAGGGCAATCAGTGTCAGGTGGAGGTGCTGGGAAGCCAGCAGGTGTAGCGGGAGTGGCCTTGGAGGCCCGCCAGGTGTCATGGGGGCGGGACAGTGGCCTCAGTCTCTGGGCTTCTCAGCTGCCTGTCAGGAGAGCAGACACTGAGAACCCAGCAGACGTCAGGCAGCGCTCACTTCTCTGAGCCTCCTCTTCAAACCGAGGACTGGCTGCCAGCAGCTGACAGTTGGGCAGGAGGGGTGTGTAAACACCCAGCTCCCTGCACAAGGTGATCTGAGGCCGTGTGAGACAGCGGAGCAAGGCTGAAGCCCAAATGCCTTTTTACAACAGCTCTGGGAGTCGCTCACCATGATGTTCACAACACAGGTCAGCCCTGTTCTTTGAAGGAGAGAAGGTACAAGGGCATGGGTGGCAGAGGTGGGTTTTGGGGGCCATCTTGGAGGCTGGTGGCCACGCTAGGAATTTGGTTTGTTGCTGAATGGGGAGGAAGAGGGTACAGACCAGTCTCCCCTCACCTTGACTTGCTCAGCCTTCCAGGAGAGTTCCAGGCTAGTCCTGGTGGAAGTGGAGGTGACCACCACCTGGGTCACCCTCCCCACTGTATTTCAGCTCCAGCTTCTCTGCCAGCATCACTCCGTAGCTCTGCCCCTGTCCCATGGCCCCTGGCTTCCAAGCCACAGACTATTTACAGTGTTCTGTCCAAGGGGGAGGTGTGCACAGGGAAAGGAAACAAAAGCATCGACACACACCTTCTTTTAAAACATGCATTAAAAAAGAATAGTGGGTATTTAGTATTGAAATCCACATGGTTTATGTAGACTCTTCATAAGCCTGGCACAGGGAGAAGGATGGGGACAGGTGGGTCATTGCTGCAGGTGGTGCATGGGGTTTGGGTGTCCCCCTGGGTGGCCTACACTCCTCTGTGTCTCCTCTAAGGGGTCGGGGGTTGGAATTCAGCCTCCCTGAGCCCATCGTAGCAGGAACAGGACTGAGATGGCTCAGGTCTCCCTGGGAAGCGGCGGTAACTCATGTGGGAGAGGGTGTGATGGGGGCCTCACTGACTGTGGTGCCTTCTCTCTGTTTGAAGTTGGTCTGGTCCCAAGGAAACCGTGGCCCCTTGGAGCTGTCAGCACTCTCGCTCCCCCAGTGGCAGGTGGGTTCTGCCTGAGTCTTGCTGGACTCCCACCCACTGGGTCCACGGGGATCTGGGTCCCTGGGCCCCTGTGGACATTATCTGTGAATGGGTGGCCAGGAATGACCAACACTGTGCATGTCTGCTCTGCTCGTAGCATTGTCCCATCAGACTTCACTAACAAATGTAATTTATTTTTTTTTAAAGATTTTATTGGGGAATTGGGGAAATGGAACAGACAAATTGCTGTCCTTTTGTTCTTCAGTCTAGTTGTGGAGGACGTTGCTTCACCGGCCCAAGTTGGCACCATCATTGCGCTCTTCCCAGGCGAGGCAACTCAGTCACCAGCTTCTGGACGGCCGCTCACTGCGGCTGCTGGCCGCTCACGCTGGCTGCTGGCTACACACGGTAGCCCATGGCAACCCACTGCAG